ACCGCACGCCGTGTGCTTGCGCAGGCCCTCGGCGCCGCCACCCGAAGGCACACACCTGTGCTCCACGTCGACAGTCTGAGGCCTGTGTCTGCCAGGCTGTCTGGGAAATTCCCTGTGAGTCGGTGCTGCGGATCCCAGAGCGGCAAGGCGAGCCCTCTGGGCGCCCCGCGGAGGCCCTTGCCCGGAGGGAGGGGTGCCATGTGCGGGGCACTGTGCGCCCACAGGCAGCTGGTTTCCAGACTGGCCCGGTGCCCTTTGTCTGCACCTGCTGAGCCCCGAGGGCATCTCCAGCAGCCGGTGAGGAGGCTTCGTGCAGGGGTGGGCAGAGTGTGGGGCCGCCTCTGCCCTGATCCCTCAGGTCATTTTGAAAACTAAAAGTACAGGTTTCTTACTTTATTAGCAATATATGTGCTTTTATCCAAAGTTGGAAAATGGAGGAGGATATAGGGCAGCCAGGTAACCACTATCTACCTCCTTGACACATAGCACTGGGGTTTGAACCCAGGGCCTGAGCTACATCCCTAAACTTTTTTTTTTTTTTTTTTAATTAGGTGCCCCGTGAGAGCACCCCATGCAGCTCGTGTGTCCCACAGACTCGAACCCCGCGAGGGCAGGGGTTTTGCTTGTGGCGTTGCCGGAGCCTGGTACTGTGCCCAGCACGTGTGGTGTATTCAAGGCCTAAATGTTTGTTGAATGAGTGAGGTCACCCACTATTCCGAAGGTGCTAACCTCTGCTGGCTGCTCTGAGAAGGAACTAGCAGAAGGAAAGGGAGGGCGTGGTGGTGCACGCCTGTGACCCCAGCACTTTGGAAGGCTGAAGCAGCAGAATGGAAAATTCAAACCCAGGCTAGGTAATAGGGACTTAGCGAGACCCTAAAAAACAGGACTGGGGATGTAGCTCAGTGAGGAGGTCCTAGGTTCAAACCCCGGTGCTGAAAGGAAGTGGGGGGCCCTAGAGCCAGGGCAGGTTTGAGCTCGCTGGGCCCAGCCTGTCGGGGCCACGTCCACTCGCACCCAGCAGGGAGGTGAGGGACACCCTCGAATGAGCCTTCGAGCCAGCGGGCCTGTGCTTGGCACTGTTCCCGGCGCCCTCACCCACGGCCTCGGAGCTTTCACCCTTCCCACTTGTTCGCGTATTTGGGAAGGCTCCCAGGCCCCGGATGACATGCAGCATTTTTTTTTTTTTTTTTTTTTTTTTTTTTTTTTTTTTGTTGG